TGACTTTGAAAGCATAATATTTGATCAATTATTTTACATCTCTGAATATTTAAATTTATCTAAAAAAAAATATTACGTTAATAGATTTTTTTTTATAAATTAAGACTAATTTTTAATCATCATTAAATTGAATGTATAAAGAAGAAGAATTATTAAAAAAAATAATAAAATCTGAAAAATTTATTTTTTAAATTTTATTCCAAATTATAGAAAATAGTTTTTTTATGTTAGGAAGCAGTGACCCTATTTTTCCCCGAAAATTGATAATTTCCCATTCTCTCTATTTGAGCAAGAATGAAAATCTGGAACATTGCCAATGATATAACGAACAAATATTTATTTTTCTGATTATCAATTTATTTTCTAAATGTGTTAATTATTTTTAATTTCACTTGTCATTATGAAATTTAATAAAAAATGTATTGATATTTATTTATGGAAAATAAAAATTTTCTTTAGCATAGAAAATTTGACGCAAATAAATATTTATTTAGCTCTATTTTTTTTTTGTAGAAAATAAAACTATAAAAATATTCTTTGTTATAAAGTGAGAAAAATATAAATGGAGAACTGTTTATCTCATTTAAAAAAAACAAACTAGAAAATATAAAAAAGAAAGTGTGTATGTGAAACAACTACCTGAATTTGTTTTCTAATTATTTTCTCATTATATGAAGGAAATGAATACTGCGTTCCCGTATATACTTTTTTTTGTATACAACTTGCATAATAAAAATTAATTAAATTATGTAGATATCCGAGAAATTAATATATTTTCTTTCATTATATTAGAACGTTGTTTTAATGCAAATTTTTAAAAATATTTTTAAAAATATTTCTTTCTTCTTTAGTGTACTAATTTTTTTCTTAATACGTTTAATTTAATTTGGAACATTTAATTTTTAATTACTTAACAATTTAATTTGCATTTCTTTAATTAAAAACATTATTTTCGATAGGTCAATGGAGTTAGAAGTTTTAATGAAAATATAATTTGATGAAAAAAGAAAAACAAAACAAGTTCCTTTGTTAAAAACTTTTAGAACATATTCATGTACAATGAATAACAAAATTATGCTGATATTATGATAAAAACCCACAATAATGAGTGATAATTGAAATAATTCATTTATAATTTAAAACAAAAAAAATTCATTCTATTTTCCATAATGCAAATTAGTGACAATTTGTATATAATAAATTTGTAAAAAAATAAATTTAAATATTAATTTTATAATTTTCCGTTTAAATTTAATTGCACATATTATATTGTTAAGAACGTGTGTTAAAATTAGTAAAATTACTGTAATAAAGTAAAAAAAGATTTAATAATCCTTGTTTTTTAAAATCAGTTAAGAAAGTCACGCAAATCATAATACGTGCGTGTAAGTTAATTATATGTATAATAGATTCCCAGACGAAAAAAGTTGAATGAAATTTTAACTCGAATAATTCTGTAGAATTTCTCGAAAAAAAAAACAAAAAATACAATTCAATAGAATGTCTACATGAATTTTAGTCAACATTCTATTAGAAATATTGTATGGAACAGACAAAATACTACACACCTGAAGTTGTAAAAAAACAAAAGAATAAAGCTTTCGCAATCTTTTGTTTTAATTTTCGTCTCCCTCAAAACTTTTCTGAATAATTTCTACATACTCTCAAAATTTTTTGAATCAACAAAAATTTTAACTAAACTAAAATTATAATAACAATTATAATTTTTTATTATTATTATTAATACAATAATAATTTATAAAATAAGAAAGAAAACGGGCAAATAATTATGAACGAAAGTTAGTTAAGATTTGGTGCAAATAATAATTGGAAAAGTGGAAAATTTTTTTTTTTTTTTTCGTTGAAATACGATATGGGAAATCGCGTGGAAAGAAGAAGATACGTAAAAGAGGGGGAGGGGAGGGTGTGATGTAGTGGCTGATGGAGATTTACGGGTGGATGCTGTGGTGATCGAACGTGTTTAAAGAAGGCCGCCAAGCGATATTTACGCGTCCTCAGTGGGTGCCCTCCCCCCTCTCCCTATATATATATATATATGAGTTATTTATAAAGTGATTCCCGCGATAATCAATATCCTATGCCTTTTTTCCTTCTATACTATATGGTAAAATTCGCTCGGGGATCAGAATCGTGTCCTTGTGTGTGTATATATCAACTGAGATTCTCAGGGACGGTGGTGCTACTATTTTTTTTTATTATTATTTATTATATTATTTTCCTTCGTTTGATAAAAATTAAAAAAAAGTAGTGAATTTTTAAAATTTTTAATATTTTTTAAAATTAAAAAATATTTAATTAAAATTTTTCTAAAAGTAATTTTTAAAAGAGCACATTTCTCTCCATTTTTTCTTTTTAGATCAAAATTAATAAAGCAGTTTTTTTCAAAAAAAAAAAAAAATTATTTTCTGAAAAAAATATTTTTAGAATTCTTTTTTATAATTTTCATAATTTTCATAATTTTCATTTTATATTGTAAAATAATGAATTATATTGAAAAATAAATAAAATAAAAATTTTGCTAATTTAGAAAATATTTTCGGAATTATTTTTTTGTAGCCTTTTTTCTTAATTATTATATTTGAAAGATAACAAAAAAAAAATCTGTTACTGAAATTTATTCTAGTGTACAATCATGTTTCTTTTCTCTTGCTTGATTCGAGAAAGTTTCCGTCAACGTAAACTTCCCTCTTTTCTCATTTCTATCCAGTATTTCCGGGACGTCGGACACCTCGGAGGTCGTGTTGCATTTTCATTATCGCGCTCCGTTTCCATCGTGATCTACCCAAGCGTTCACGTGGTCCGACGTTATAAAGGGGATGTTTCACCCTTTCCCTCCTCCCTTTTACCCCACCCACGAGAGAACAAGAGAGAGAGAGAGAACGACATACCTTTTATGCTGTCATTTTTTTCAGATATCTTCTGAGAAATTTTATTATATATCATTCATCAGTGATTCATTCTTCTTTATCAAACAAATGCCACGTACCTTTCATTTCATTTTCGATATATTTTTATATACATAAATAACTTTGAAATACTTTAGCCCTTCTTCTTCTTCTTTTATATTGAAATTCTTTTATTTATTTGATTTCTTTACTTCGTTTTATTTGAAATAGGACTTTCGCGAATATCTCTGAAAATATTCCACTTCGAAATTCTTGGGTTACAAAAAAAAAAAAATAAGGAAAAAGAAAAGTTCAACTTTCTCTAATAACAATAAAAGAATTTCAAAATTAAATTAATAGAATTTAATTTAATTTACAAAAAAAAGAGATTTTTTTAATTTTAAAAATTAATAAAAAATTTTGTTAATATTTTTAAATTAAAAAAAAAAATTTTATTTGAAAATCGAAGATGTTCAAATATGGAAAAAAAAATTTATATCACTTATTCGAATTATTTTGCATTTTTTTTTTTCAAAGAAAATTTCCCGCACATTTTCACTGAAAAAAAGTTGATCTATTTTAAAAATTTGAGAAATATATGCAGACAATATTTGATTATGAAATAAAAAATTTAATTCTAATTAAAAAGTTTCAATAAGTAAATAACATTGTTTTATTAAATCACGACCGCCAATGTTTATACGATCAACAAATCAGTTTTAAAATATTATACACTGGAAAAAATTTTTTTTTTAAATAATCGGTTTCTTGATTATTTTCAAATAAATATTTTTTTGTTTTAAATAACTATTATTTAATATTATGAATTTAATTTAAATGAAGATTATTTTATATTATTAGTGAATAATATACTAATTATTTTATTTATTTTATAATAATCAAGTAATCGATTATTTGAATCAAATAAATTTTTTTTCAGTGTATGAAATAAAAATTTTATTTCCTTAAAATCGTTTCAAGAAATACGAGAACTTTTCATTTTTAAAACAATATAATAATAATAATTGTTATATTAACGAGGAAAAAAATTCCTTCACTTTTAAAAATTATTCTTTTTTTTCAGTATTAAAAAAAAAAGTTTATAAAAATTCATTTTTTTCAATTAAACTGTAGTAAATTTTTTTCTTCTTTTGTTAAAGAAAGGGGAAAATAAAATGAGAAGAAATTTCACATTAAAGAAGATGAAAAGAGCGTATAAATCTTAAGCGCACGGTCTCATTATCGTTATCATGTGTCTTCAAATGTGTGTTTATTGTCCAGGTGTTAAAAAAAAGAAAAAAAAATGAAAAAAAAAATTTTTTTTTTGCTTTTACTTTTTAATTGAATGCTATTTATCTCAAACTATTGTCACTGTTTATTTTCTAAATATATATATATTAGAGTGGTCTTTTATTTAAAATATTTCAAAATTTAAACGTTCCCGCCCAAAAATTTTTTGTTACAAATAAAAAAAATGTAGGTACGTATTTTTATTTAGTACCTTGATGAAAAAGGGCTTATTTTTTATGCTTTTTGTAAGCCCATATATATGTAAATAAATAAATAAATTATTATAATTTAGAGAGTAGAAAAATTTCAATATTTATTCTTTTTTTTTACAAAAACTTGTTTTTTACATTTATGGGTTTTTTTAATGTAAAAAAAAAATAAAGATCGAAATTTATTTTATAAATCTAATTGGATATTTTTCTCACAATGAAAAAAAAATTTTCTACACTTGAATAATCAAGAATGCAGTTGAAAAATATTGATTTTTGAAAACAATTTTTTGATATAAATCAAAAAAAGCAAAAATAGATTTGAGGTAATTATTAAATTAAAAACATAAAAAAATACGTGTGTACTTTTTTATTTGTAACAGTATTGTTTGGGCGGGAATGTTTAAAATTTTTTTTTCCAAACTAAGGTCCACCCTTTTTTTGGTAATAAAATTATACAGTGATTTGTTTTAATTGGCAGTTGAGAAAAAAAAAAGTAAAATTGAAGAAGGGCTTTTTTTTAAAGAGGCGAAGAGACGCGCACTTCCGGTGAATCGTATGAGATCGGTAACGGAGGAAATGATTGATCTCGTACCTGGAATCGGATTTTTCGAGATGCAGGGCGCGGCGGCATGGTCCCGTCGCAGCGCTGTTCGTCGAGCACTGAGCTCATCTCATCCGCACAGTCCACAAACGGTGGGGTTTTGCGTCGACGTCAACGTCGAAAAGACGCAAACGTAAAGTGAGGAATATTTGTGCGCAGACGCGCTCCTTTTTCTCTAAAAAGCGAAAAGAAAACTACTACTACTACTACTAGTGTACGAGACACGAGAAGGGTTGAAAAGAGACGCGCTTCTTAAAAGCCCGCCTTTTTTCTTTTTTTTTTTTCTTTTTTTTTCCTTCTTTTTTTTCTTAATATTCTCTCTCTCTCTTTCTCTCTCTCATTTATTTGCGCACATCTTTGGCAATCGTTTTCTCTCTCTTCTTTTATAGAATAGCTTTTTACAGTGTGCGCTGTGTCGTTATTTTGCCCTCGAGATTATATTACGCGAGGGCGTCATTTTTTTAATACTCTTCCGTTTCTTGTTGAACTTCAATTTTTTTTCACCTTTTTTTTTAACTCTCTATTTAAATCTACTTTTAATTGGAAAAAAAATTCCACAAGTTTAACGAACGACTTTATACTTATATATGTGTGGTGAAAAAAAAAACAATTAAATTGGACTTCAAAATGTTTTATATTTTACACTTGGCTGTAAATGTCGTGTTAATTATAAATGAAAATTCCTTCTCCATTATTATGACTTGTTTCATATAATAAAGGGGAAAATTTTTTTTTATTGATTAGTAATAATAGTATTATTACCCCAACCTCAATTTAGATTATTTTTTTCTCAATTTTTATTTTAATTTATTTTTTAATTATTTTCTATTTTATTTTAATTTCCCTTTTTGGCAAAAAAAAAATTTTTTTTTGTTATAAAAATTGATTTTAACCTAAATGTCAATGTCATCGTTGAAAAATATTTACGATGAAAAGACAATTTTTCGCCTTTGATATTCAAGAAAGCGTTGAGTTTTTAAATTGATGAAGGAAAAAAAGAAAGATCATCATTATTCTAAAGCTATGCTACAATAAAAATTAAATATACATTTGTTATTCATTTTTCATCCTTTCTTCTCAAATTTTTATTTAAACCAAATAAAATTTTTACTTGAACCAAAAAAAGTGTTTAAACCAAGTAAAATTTTTTTTTCATACTAAATAAATATTTATGAAGCACTGAGAAAAATATATCTTTTCTCTAAGTGTAAATAATTTTAATTATTAAATAAAAAAAAAATTCTACTATGAAGACTTGAACTCAAAAAGAAAATAAAGTCAATTTTTTTTATCTGTGCGCAAATAGATGAAAATTCTATTCGAAAGATAAATATTTAAAAACACTGTATAATTTAAAAATAAAAAAAATTTCGAAAATTTAACGTGACATTGCTCTTTCAGCTGTTTCCATTTAGTTTGAAACCCTTTGCACACACACACATACACACGTCAGTATTAGTACCAATAAACGGGTTTCAGTTTCTGTCCCATCCCAATGCAATTAAATCTGATTTCATTACCGGGTGCATTTGTCCAGCAATGAATCAGCAATCAGAGATTATCGGAAACATTTCCCCTATACACGTGTATAGCGCGAGTGTCAGATACGTTGTTGCACCAAAGAAGATTGTCACTTCAAAGATTACATATATTATTATCACGATATTGCAGAGTTGAAATAGAAAAAAAAACCTCCAAAATTATCTCTTAATACCAAAAAAAAATGGTTCTAGAATTTTTTTTCAATATTAAAAAAATATATAATTTAATTATAAAGTTAATGTTAATTTTTATAAAATTAATTTTGAAGAAAAAAGTTGAAAAAAAATTTTTTTTTTCCTATTTTTGAATGCACGTGTCCTTGTGTAATAATAATTCTCTTGAATCTTCATTACGCCAATGTATCTCTTAGGAAACTGCGTCCCCACCACTAATAATTTAATCAAAATTGATAAGAGTTTCTTTTTTCATGTCTCGCGAAACTCTTATAATGAATGTCAGTGTGTTGCTAAACATCGCGATCATTCCTTCGACTCTCGAGAGTCTAATCGACGTAGGCGAAGATGTACGCGGCACTTTTATCGCTGAGGTCAACGAGGCTGACACCCTCATTTGGCAGATTTGCCTCCTCAGCTTCCGGTCATCTTCCACCTGTACGTAAAATGACCCTCAAAAAAAGTGTTATAATAATTATTTCCTCTCTCTCTCTACACTCAGAGAAATGGTATATTTGTCTCCGAGCCTACTAACTCATTTATTTGTTGCAAATATATTTTATTTCATTGAAATAAAAAATTTATTTGAGCCAAAGAAAAATTTATTTCTGACAAATAAAATTTTTATTTACTTCAAATAAATAAGTTAGTAGGCTCTGAGACAAATATACGTTTATTTAACTCAAATATATTTTATTTGGTTAAAATAAATCATTTCTCTGGGTGTATATATGAGAAAAAATATAAATAAATAATTTAATTTATAAATTTATTTCAAGTAAATTTTATTTGTGCCAAAACAAATTTTTTTAATTAGTGCTTCCTCATAGAGGAAGTATTGTATTTTAATTCATATTTAATTATAACAAATATATTTTTATTTAATTTAAATAAATTATATTTGGTTCGAAAAATTCTCTCTGCGTGCGTATAAAATATGTATAATTTAAAAGTGATAATGTGTATACTATTTTTTATGGATTACAACGTAATTATATATCCGTTTATTCTTTTTTTTTGGTTGGAAGTTTTAAAAGTAAGAAATATTTTTAATATTAATAATACTTTTTTGGAAGTTAGGGAAAAATTAGAAAAATCATAAAATAAAATTGTCAATTAAAAACAGGGAAAACTGTCCCAGTTTTTCTGTCTTATAAAAAAAAAGATCTTCTACATTTCCATTTTTTCAATATATATATATAAATTGTTACCACACAGATATAAAATATGTTCTTAATTAAAAAAAAGATCTTAATCCAGTTTCCATGATATATACATGTCTTAATGAAGAATGCAGTCTATATAGAACTTGGAAATTATTAGTGAAACCTACTTCCATAACAAAGTATTGTATAAATATTTATATTAGAAGTTTAACTTGGCTGTACCTTTCATATTAAATTCCAAACCAACCCCCATATTCACATCAACGCACCCTCAGGGGGAAAAGGGTCGAACGGAATAATTCTATAATACCCGCACACATCAAAACTAATTCCTCGAAAACAAGTCTCGAAATATTATATACTCAAAATAAAATTTGTATATATAGTCATTAATAATTAGAAACGATAATAATTAACATTAATGATAATTGCATTCAATAATAATAGTTCATTTTAATGGTCTAGTTTAGTACTGTCCTTGATGTATAATTATTACACGAGAGTATATAGTGATTACAGAAATAAGGAAAAAAATTTATTTCAAACTTAATAAAAATAATTTTTAGAAAATACAAATAATTATATTTGTTTTTATTTTTCACTTAAATTATTTAATTTAAATTAATTAATTTTTTGAGCTAATTATACAAGAATTATATATTATCGGTGTTAGAAAAGAAGGAAAAAAAGCTTATTCTGGGGAAATTTTCATTAGGAACTTTTTGCTAATTGAATTTTGCTCGAAAGAAGAAATATATTGTATAGGTCATTCGAAAATTAAGTTTGTGATGCCTGGAGAGTAAAATCATGCCATTTGCCCTAGGTTAGAAAATAAGGAACACGTTTTCGTGCTTTCAAAATGTGAAACGTGTATATGTCGAGAGAAAACTTTTGATGTGCTATTCACTACAGTAACAAACCTGACAGTCTGAAAGAGAGCGAGAGAGAGAGAGAGAGAGCAAAACAAAGTAACTGGATAACCAATAATAACTATTTTCCGTGAAATCTCTCTCTCTATAAAGCTTGAATTTCTCTCAATTTCATTTTTTTTTTTTTTTTTTTTTTTTTTTTGATAAAATAAAAGAGAAATTACCAAAAGGATTGAAAAAAAACTCCACTAAACAATGAAATAAAGTCAAACGTAAGAGAAATTTCAACAGACTTTAATGTGATAAAACGTTTTGACATTATTATTCCAGACGTTCAAAGAAAATCTTCAATTATAAAAAAAAAAAATGGTGAAAATTTACTCAACTTTAAAAATTCTTTTGTTTATTTGTTTTTTTAATGTTCAAAGAGACAATTGTTATCTTACAATTTCCGACATTCGGTTTATCTAAAAAAAAAATCTCTTATGTCAATTATTAATCGTTGAAAAATTATAATAAAATAAAGTAGAAAAAATAGAAAAATTGAGGATTCAAATACCTATTAGAATAATATATATATATTTCAAATTTCAACATTCATTGCGGAAGATAATTCATCTTGATAAACTTATCTTTGAATATTGTTATCTGTTTATAAAAGAATCACATGATTACAAGATACGTCGAATCTTTAATCTTTTCCCTGATTCTTTGAAATAATAAAGAAGGAAAAAAAAACCCGTGAACTATTTAGTATGAATTTCATATTTTACAACTTTGCAAATATTCATATTATTGACAATAAAGAGTGAATCATAATTGCATTATATAATTCATTATGTCAAACAAAATATAATTTGCACGCATTAAAAAAAATTTTTTTTTCGAATTCCGTCTGAATAATAAGAACAATAAAAGAATTTCTTAATAACTGCGGAATATAAAAGCAATTAAGAGAATTATTATTCCATAAAAAGTTTTGCATAATATATTCTCAAAATTAGTTATTTATAATTAATAATTTATAATATAATTAATTAATAATTTTATTCTAAATATAACTTTTGTTTGAAATTGAAAAAGTATTTCTTCAAATTAAACAAATTTTTAAATCAAATAAATTTTCTTTAAATTAAAGAAATTTTTTCTTTGACCCTACACTATAAGAGAAATGATATATTTTTCTGAGAGCCAAATAAATATTCATTGTTTCAAATATTTATTTGTTTGAAATATATTTTTATTTGATTTAAATACAAATTTTATTTATGAGAAATAAAATGTTTATTTACGTCAAATAAAGGGGATAGTAGGCTTTGAGACAAATATACGTTTACATATTTAACTAAAATATATATTTGGTTCGAATAAAACATTTTTCTGTATATAATATTTAGGGCCGAGAAAAATTATCTCTATTTTTTTTTTTTTTTTTTTTTGACGAAAAATAGTAAAAATTATTATATAGAAAAAAAACATGGCGTGATTGGACACTTTTGTTTTTCTCGCGTACACCATATGAGAAACGAGATTTCACAATTCGTTGATTTTCCTGGTAAATTCTGAAGCGTATATAATTTGCACATAAGATTGAAAATTGTCCGCTTCACACCATGTTGATTCTTGTGTATATGATACCATATCAACGTGTGTCATATATATATAGCGACAGGAATATTATTGACTTGTTGGTTTGCATGATCAAATTATCAAAACCAAATTCTCTCCATGTTTCCCCTTAACGAATGCGTAGCTGATGTCAATCGTCATTATAATTAACAGTATTTTCCTGAAGTATTATCATCCCTGGCTCATATATATATATGTATATATACCATACACCATATATAGTGTCAAGGTAGACAAATTACTAACACACTGCATGATTGATTATCGCGTTGTTGTTTATCACAAACAATTCATGTGTGGTCCATTTTCATGCGCTCACACACAATACATATATATATATATATATATATATATAATTCTCCAGAGTCTGATCATCATGAACGAAACGATAAAACGTGTCTATGAAATGTTTTCCATCACGTTGTAGATCAAAGTTTCAATGTTGCGCTTTTTATTAATCTCATATTCACGATTATATATATCGTCGGAAATTGATGATTTTATGTATATTAGATTCATTTACATTTTTTGTATTTAATACAACAAAATGTTTTTCATATTAAAGATTTTCTCTCTAAATCAGAAACTAATTTTTCGGTGGAAAAAATAATCAAATTAAATTACAATAAGAAATATTTGTTTCAGAGTCAAATAAATATTTATTTGTTACAAAAATTGAGTTGAGTTAAATAAAAATTTTATTTGTGCTAAATAAATGTTTTTTTATTTAAAAGCAAATATATGTTTTTTGTTATAAAAGCCAAAGAGTCAGCGTTTCAGTTAATGGTATGGTTTTATGAACATGGTTTATTTTTGCAATCGATGTAACAAACTTCAAATAAATGTGTTTTAATTTTCGAAATATATACTTTTACTACTGATATTAAAATTAGAATATTATATCTAACATAACATTGTTTATAAACTGTTATTTCTAACAAAAACAGAATTTTGCATAAGCAATTAAAAACGTTTTGTCTGACTAAAATTTACTTTTACTATTAATTATAATTATACAACTAGGTAATAAAAAAAATCTAAAAAATCTTTTGTCTAACTAAAACATAAACAATTATTATACTGATATCATGTTTAAAAAACGTGAAAAAAAGTTGTCTGACTAAAAATGGTCTTCACTATTAATAACAAAAGAGAAAAAAAGTCTGACTGATAATCACTTTTACTCGATATGAATTATTAGTAAAATAACTCACATTTTTCTTCTGAATATATTCAGATAACAAAAAATTTACAAAAAAAACAAATATATATATTTTTTGCAATTTTATTTTATCTAAATATATTCAGAAATAAAATGTGTGTGTTATTTTACTACGAATTGACACCGTAAACTAAAAATTCAATCTTTGCTTGCTTTCTTAGTCAATAGTAATTTTCTTTGCAACGGTACACTCATGACATGTGTGTATGACTACACTTGGGAAATCTACGGAAACACACCACCTCCAAGATTCCTCGACATAGTTTTTCTAAATTTTCTATCTTGAGAATATGGTTTTTTTTTCTGAGACAAATGTATGTGAAACAATATTTATATAAAATTCTCAAAATTATTCATACAAAAAAAAATAGAAATTCGTCGCTTCTTTATTATATACACCAAGAATTATAAATCAAAAAATAATTGTTTTTATTCGAACCAAATATTTTTTTAAAAATAAAAATAAGAAAAAAATGTTTTTTTCCACACTGAAAAAATTTATACCCAGAGAAATGTTTATTTGAACCAAATATCATATATTTGAGTTAAATAAACGTATATTTGTTTCACAGCCTACTAGTGTATTTATTTGGCGTAAATAAAATTTTTTATTTAAATCAAACAAAAATTCTCAGAGCCAAATAAATATTTATTTCATTTAAATAAAAAATTTTATTGACGCCAAATAAATTTCTTTAAATTCTTCTTTTTTTTTGGTTTTCTTTTGGTGATTATAGAGTAATCGATTAGACATTCGACGAGAACATCAAACAGCGGATCGACCACGTAAGGGTACATTCACGGAAAGAAGTCAACTTAAATATGCACGTCGATTGGTGGTAAAATTGGGAAGTGCTGTAATTACAAGGGAAGATGAGCATGGACTTGCTTTAGGTCGTTTAGCATCAATAGTGGAACAAGTGGCAGAATGTCAAATTGAAGGTAGAGAATGTATAATGGTGACAAGTGGTGCAGTGGCTTTTGGAAAACAGAAATTACATCAGGAACTCTTAATGTCCCTTTCAATGCGAGAAACACTCAGTCCTGCAGATCATACACGTGAACATGCAGGTAATATATTATAATAATTAGATATTTTAAAAACTCACCACAATCTTTTTATAGACATTATTTTCAATCTCCTTTTGGTCCTTATTTTTTTTTGCAGATTCTGAAATAAATAATAAATTTTTGTTTTCTTAAAAAGGTGTTGATTAATTTAATTTTTAATTATTTTTTCTTATAATTTTATAAATGATTTTTATAAAAAAAATGACAATGAGGCAAATAGTATTTTTAATTTTGCGTTAGATAAAATTTTTTTTGTCTCAAAACGCCAATAAAAATATTTCTCTAGGGTACTTATCTGTAAAAAATTAAATTAATACCTAAATGAAAAGATAACAAAAAAAAATCAATTTCTTTTGCAAAATAATTAATTTTGACTTTAATGTTTCTGCTTGTCGAATTCAACGAATAACATGCGGAAACATAGCATACATTATTAGATCTGATGCATTACTTGCAATCCCTGCTCTTGCCGTCATTTATTATTACTATAATACAGTATCTCGTAATCCGAGTGACATTATCATTGGTATTTCATGAATCAAATCGAGTCTATGCAGAAATGTGGGAATTGGATATTGCGAGAAGCTTCATAAAACAAAAATATATATGTATCCATAGATAAATTTCCATAAAATAAACACGCGTAAAAATAATTAATCTATCAAAAAAAAAAGTGATTTTCATTTTATCGTAACAAACATTTTTTTCACATTATTATAAATCATATTGAAAAGATTTTTGTTTTTTAATTATCAAAATTTTTAGTCTAAATTAGATAATATTAGAATAAAAAATTTAATGAAATATAAATTTGCTACATAAATAATTATTGACAATAAATAAATATTTATTTGACTCTGGGATAAATATATATAATATTTTTTCCTGGGTATAGTTTTCAATTTATAATTGAACCCCTTTTAATATTAAAAGAAATAAATAATAAAACCGAATTTGTAAAATTAGGTTATTTATAAATAACTGAGAAATAAATAATTTAAATATTTTAAAAATACGGTTACATTTTCTGTGAAGTGTCACTTGTACTCGAATTCTATTTACTATATAAAAACAGAATACATTTCATTTTTATCAACTCCTTTCGAGAGTGGCCCAGGGGTAAAAATAAATCTAGCTTTCTCTCTCTAGAAAACGTATAGAAAAGTGACATAAAAACACACACTTGGAATTTTATAGCTTCCTAATATGTATTTGATTTAAAGGAATAAAATTTATCTATAATAAATTTTTCCATATAGAAAAAAAGTAATAGTTTATATTGTCAATAGAATAGAAAATTGCAAAAATTACATGTTAATAATATTCTCTTTTTCATAAATATTTTTTTTTCTTTCACCCAGTTCCATTTTCTTTCATAAAAAAAATTTTTTTAACCCTTGATTCAGAGCTACCTTTTGTTATATATAAAAACTAAGAAAAAAAATGTGCTTTTTGTTTTACTTTTTAATTAATCCTCCTGCAGAGGATTATTATTTATATTTATTTATTAATATAATAATAGATTAAAAAATAAATTTCTAGAATTTTTATTTTTATTGTAATAAATTTATTATAGATATAGGATTTTTTAAAAATTATCCTCTTTTTTAAGTATCAAAAAAAAAATGTCTAACTTTTTCTTAATATTTTCTTCTTTTAAGACAGAATATAAGTTTTTTCTCTTTTCCCCTCTCTATTCACAAGCTTCAAATGCAGGACTCGTTGAGACTGTTTACTATCTTACATTCTTCTTTTTTCCTTCTTTGGAATAAGGATCTCACAAGCCCTTAACTTTTGTTATACACAAAAGGAAGTATTAAAAGTTTTCTCTCCAAATGTAAAATATATATTTACCCATTTTTTAGCGACAAATTTAGACGCGTGAAAACTTGTTATTTTTTTCATAAGAAAAAAAATATGCGACCATATATATAATAATAAGTTCTTTGATGAAAAAACTAAACTTTTTTAGTTTTCTATTTATGGGGGAAAAACTTTTATTTTTATCTACTCAATAAACTTATTTTATTTATTATAATAGAGAAATTTTTTTAATGAAAAAAAAAAAATTTATTTTTTTTGTGTTAACAAAATGTTTTACATACAAAATGCAAATTCGATTCGAGTGTTTATAAATCTAATAAATCCTTTATACAATGGAACATGATGAAATTCTCATCAATTGAATGAATGAGTTTATGTCTCGATTATATGTAATTTATTATTCTAAAACGAACATTATATTTCGAATGCAACAAACATGTTAACAATGAAATTGAAATGTAATACCGATTTGAAGAATTTAAATGCATGTGATTCGAATAGATAATTTCCCAATTTGGTCATTAAAATGTGAGTGGTCAACCGCATTCCGGAAATATTGGACACATTTCCCCTTCACTGATGTATAAATGATCAAATTTTAAATCACACAAAAGTTCATTTAATTTCTCGTTCAGACAATATATATAATTATATGACACAATTTAAATTTATCGAATAATTAGAATGAAAATAAAAAAAAAACCAAATTAGTCTTTATTTTTTAATTTTTAATAAAAGACAATGATTCTAATAATAATAGTTTGTGAACTGAAAATAAACACTAATTAAATTTCACTAATCAGTTTAATGGTGAAAACACATTTAGAAATGAAATTTTCGTAATAATAGCTAAATAACTTTTTATACTTTGTATTGTGTATAGAAATTTGTTAGAGTTGAAACTACACTTTGATTGCTATCCAATTATATTATCTAATTTTCCATTTATACTTTGGTGACAGAAAATAACATCGCGTGTTTGCCAATAATTATACGTCATAACCAATTTAAGCAAAATTTATTTTTCCATTCTATCAAGTAGAAATAATTCTGTTAATATATATATATTTTTTTTTTCTCCCAAAAATTGGATTATTTTTCAATTATTTAATTTCCACACTGAGATATATATTTGTTTCTATAAGAATTTAAATAAAAAAAAGATTTAAACAAATTCAAAAATAAAACATTAAATTGTTTAAAAATTTTATAAAATTTTAAATATATATTTAAAAATTAAAAAGATTTTTAAAATTGAAATTTCAAAAAAAAAATTAAAGGAACATAAATAAAAGTGGAGAGAAATAAAAATCCTCCAATGATTGAAACGATAAAATTACAATTTCCAGGAAAATGGCGTGTTAAATTTTCTTGCAATGTTGTGTAGTTTGAATAAATCACAAAAGCTCGACCGCATTCGTATCAAGATTTCAATTCAAAGTTTTATCGCTGTGGAAACTTGTCCTCACTAGCAAACAAACTTGCAATAAACAACTTTTCTCCAAGAAATTTAAATTAACATTTTCCAGGCAAGTTACTTTCTGAAACACAATTATTGGCAAACTGTCGGAAACATTTTTTTTTTATTTTATTCTTATGGCAATGAATATTTAAATTAGTAATTATTATCAATATTTTTCTGTTTTTATAAATAAGAAAAAATAAATATATTAGCAAAATTTAAATTTTATTAATTATTTTATAGTAAAATTCCCGTCTTTAAAATAATTTTCTAGGAAAATTTTTAATTTCAAAGAGTACCGTTTTATCAAATATTGTAACATTTGGTATTTTCTCCCTTACTGACTGATGGTAAGGTAGATTCCTATAATGCCAGCAGTGGTATTTGTTTCTATTTTCTCCCTAATTGACAGACGCTAAGGTAGATTTCCATCTTAACAGCAGTTAATAATGAGTATTTTTATATATTTCCTTCATTACCGACTGAAGGTGAGATAGATTCCTATATAACCAGCAGTCGGTAAATTCTAAATAGAAATTCAAATGAAAATTACTAAAATACATAAAACTGAAAATAATTTTTATCTCTAAAACAGGAAATCTATTGGAACCAAGAGCAGCGGCAGCAGTTGGTCAATCGGGTCTTATGTCCCTGTATGATGCAATGTTTGCACAATATGGTGTGAAATTGGCACAGGTTTTAGTGACAAAACCCGATTTTTATAATGAAGAAACGAGAAAAAATCTATTCAGTACACTCAGTGAATTAATAAGTTTGAATATTGTGCCAATTATTAATACAAATGATGCTGTGTCACCGCCACCACAAGTTGATGAGGAAGTGGCTGGCAGTGGTGGTCGAAGGGGAATTTCCATTAAAGACAATGATTCATTGGCAGCAATGCTTGCTGCTGAGGTACAGGCTGACCTTCTAATTCTCATGAGCGACGTGGATGGCATTTATAATTTACCACCTTGGCAAGATGGTGCCAGAATGCTGCACACGTTCACATCCGATTTGCGAGGTACCATTAAGTTTGGGCAAAAATCCAAAGTCGGCACTGGTGGAATGGATGCAAAAGTCAACGCTGCACTATGGGCATTGGACAGAGGTGTTTCTGTTGTTATTTGTAATGGCACTCAAGAAAAGGCCATTAAAAGTATTTTGTCGGGAAGAAAAATTGGTACACTCTTCACTGAATCAACAACATCTTCAGCGCCCGTTGAAGTTGTTGCCGAAAATGGTGAGATTTTCTTTTTATAATGCCAAAAATAGTACATTTTTAATTTCATAATATTCTTGCAATTTTTTTTCATTTTTAAAAAAAGAGTGAAAAAAAATTAAAAAAGTTTTTATTATACTTTTTTGGTGCCAATCTGCGCACGGTACAATTTCTTATAAGCTATATAAAATCGACAAATATAGAAACCGTAATGAAAAACTTTCCAGATAATCTTTTTTCTACAACTTTGATCATATAATTCTATAAAAGTTCAAAAAAAAAAAATTTTTGTTAGAGAAGTATTTTTATTTTGAAACAATTTACTTTTTTAAAATTCTATTTTAATTATTACAATTGTTTACAAGTTAACAATTAAATTTGTTCACGAATTATCGTTTGCCATTAAACATTCCTCTTTTCATTTGCGCACAAATTACCATGTGTCCTAATTCCTTTGTAACCAAGATTTGAATTTTGTTCAATTATCATTAGATCGTGCAAATCACTTCACTTTCGAAAGGGGAGGGGGGAGAGGAAATGAAATTCCCCCATAAAAGGGAATTAGTATAATAACGCGAGAAAATAAATTTTTGAAAACAGAAAAAAAGAAGATAATGAAATCGAATTAATATTCAGAGGAATAAAAGAAAAAGAGGGGGAACAAAATTGGAAGGAATAAATTTACGAGGAAATGGAGCAAGAAATTGAGAAACAAATAGGAATAAATTGTAAAAAAAAAACAAAAGAGATTTGAAAAATAGATTGACAATTAATTTGTGAATGATGAGTAGATGAAAAATTCTAATTCTCTAAAATTGTTTTTATTTTCTGCAATATTTTTTTTTATTAGTAGTATTTTTTTCTATATTGAATATTTGATATGGCAAAAAACAAAATATCAATTTCCTTTAAAATATTTTCTTTTAAAGGAAACTCGCTCTAAATTCCAATGCAAATACGAAATTGAACCAAAGATCCTTTCTCTCGAATCAACATCATTTCCCTTTTGGCATCTCTCGTCCACTTTAATAAGAGCACCAAATGCGCGGCTCTCTCCACCTACATATATATATATATAGAGAGAGAGAAATGAATTCCTATGCCAAAGAATGAGATAAATTCCGATTCTAGAATGATTTTTCGATAGCGACAAACAGCTTAATCTAAAAGGTTTCAAGTTTCATATTTGAAAATAAAGGAAAATAAAAGTTATGAAAAAATCGAAAAACTATTACAAAAGGGACGCATGAATCAGCTCTAAACCACATTTTATAGAATTATTATTTGATAGAATCTTATTCTTTAGAATGTTAAATTGGTAGAATATTTATTTATTCGAAAATTAATGTTTTTGGAATTTTCTAATTTTTAATAATCGATTTCAGCTCGAACGGGAAGCAGAATACTTCAGGCACTTAAACCAGAAGAGCGAGCACAATGCATCAACACTTTAGCGGATTTACTCGAATCGAAGCAAAGTGATATTTTGGATGCGAACAATAAAGATTTGGAGGAGGGTCGAAAAAGTGGTTTGGCAAAGCCATTACTATCTCGTTTATCACTGACACCATCAAAATTAAATTCCCTAAGTCATGGTCTTCGACAAATTGCCGCGACATCTTTGAACAATGTTGGACGTGTAATTAGAAGAACAAAATTGGCCGATGATCTTGAATTAAAACAAATAACAGTGCCAATTGGTGTTTTATTGGTGATTTTTGAATCGAGACCCGACAGTCTACCTCAAGTTGCAGCATTGGCTATGTCAAGTGCAAATGGCCTATTATTAAAGGGAGGTAAAGAGGCAGCCTACAGCAACAAGTGCCTTATGGATCTTGTGAAAGAGGCATTAAGCTCAGTTGGTGCAGCTAATGCCATTTCTCTTGTATCCACAAGGGAGGAAATTGGTGATTTGCTCTCAATGGAGAAGCACATCGATCTTATTATTCCCCGCGGTAGCTCGGAACTTGTCCGCTCAATTCAGTTGCAGTCAAAGCATATACCTGTCTTGGGACATGCCGAGGGCATATGTCACGTCTATGTTGATAAGGAAGCAGATCTTGTTAAAGCAATGAGAATTATTCGTGATTCAAAATGTGATTATCCAGCAGCGTGCAATGCAATGGAAACACTTTTAATACATGAAAATCTTATGAGCAGTAGTTTCTTCTCTGATGTTTGCAATATGCTACAACGCGAAGGGGTAAGTTCAGATATATATATGCGCGCAGGTTCATGAATTTATCAATTTGTCTTAGAAAATGTTTATACGACTGCATAAAAAGAGTGCAAGAGAATCTCTCTTGAGAAATTTCTACAAATGCAAATTATTCCTTAGAAATATTCAGTTGGAGTGTGAAAATACTTCCGTCATTCAAATTTCGTCATATATATGCTTCTTTATACATAAGTTGAAAAACATTCGAGTGCATTAGGAAAAGGTTGCGCGTCAAAAAAAATTAATAAATTTTCGATTTAGAAATCAGATGATTTCTGTTTTGGAAATTTTAAAAAGTAGAATTTATATTCAACTGAATGTACAGTTTTTTCGAAAACGTTTATAAATACTGAAATTTATAAACCGCTGTTGGATTTTTTTTTCTTGACAAATAGTGAAAAATGTTTATCTAACTAAAATCGCTTGTGAAAATCAGACTGGAGAGTCTCTGGGGGATTTTTTTTTTGAAAGTTAATCTACTCAAGGTAAAATAAACCAAATAGTGTTAGAGGTAGAAAAAATATTTCCTTTATCTATATAAAATAATGCTCTCTATGTGAAATATTCGTAATTCCAAAAATGATTCTCACTCTTATTTTTCAATATTAAAATTTAAAATAATTTTTCTTTCCCTTAATTTTGTTAAATATAAATAAATTTATTTTGAATTTTAAAATTGTGAGGATGGAAAAAAATGTTTCTTTTTTTCTGTAAAATATAGGTCAAGATTAATTCTGGTCAAAAGCTACAGCAACAATTAACTTTTGGACCACCGGCGGCTAAAAGTATGAAGATTGAATATGGAGCTTTAGAATGTACTATTGAACTTGTCACGGATCTTGACGACGCGATAAATCACATACACAAATATGGAAGTGGACACACGGACACAATTGTCACTGAAGATATGAAAAGGGCAACTCATTTTCAAAGAGAAGTCGACAGTGCATGTGTCTTTCATAATGCCAGCACTCGTTTTGCCGATGGTTACAGATTTGGCCTCGGTGCTGAGGTAAGCTGATTTATGATATTATTATAATTATCTAAGTTTGCATTTTCGATTAATTAAAAATATTCACTTCGCTGATTTTCCTTTTTCGCAAAATTAGTCGCAAAATTATGGGAGTAATTATACCATTTAAAAAAATTATTTTTCTACTAAAAAACATTTTTTAAAAAATATAAAAAAAATTATTAATTTTTTGTGTTTGTAATTTACTGGACAAGATAAGTCTTTAAGCTTTTTTAAACCATCGATATTAAACGATATATATATAAAAATACGCGCCTTACCTATATATAAATAGGACAATATTGATTTCTTTTAACGTTCCAATATAGAAAAAAAAGAACGTTTCACTATTGTACTATATGAATCTTTAGTTTTTTTTTTTTTTTTTGTTTAACTGACTTACAGAAGCTTTTAAAATAATCCCTCGTAAAAATAAAGAGCCTGACAATATATTTCTCGTATATGAGAAATATTGTCAGGCTCTTTATTTTACCTATATATATATATATATATAGCTAAAAGCTTCAGTGAATTGTTATAAAGACAGGACATTTTTTTCTAAGTAAAATGCGTTTAAGATTAAAAAGATTTTCAATAACTTGAAATATAACAATTCAAAATCTGATTTGAATACAATTTTCTTCAGTTCTTTTTTACCTCTCCACCATATAGTTTGTGTATTAATAATTAATTTTTTAATTAATTTATAAATTTTGAAAAAAATTTCAATTTTTTAATAATAAAATTGCAAAAATTCTCTCCTGAGAGAAAATATAAAAATCATGTGTGATATCGCGCAGTTAATTCAAAATTTGATAATTTGAAATCAATTTTGGAAGATAGCAAACAGTAATTCAAAGTTTGATTGCACGAATTGTTATTGCAGGTTGGTATCTCGACTGCTCGAATTCATGCTCGAGGTCCCGTGGGAGTCGACGGTTTATTAACGACAAAGTGGGTCTTGCAAGGAGATGGTCACACAGCATCCGACTTCTCAGAAACTGGTGGTAAAACTTTCCTTCATCAGAACTTGCCAATTGACAAAGAGGTGAACTGAATTTAAAATCAACTTTTTGGAGACAAAAAAAAAATGAAGAAGAAAAGAAAAGAAAAATGAATGAAACACACACACAGAAGCCTCCGCGTGACTTGGCTGTGACAATTTTTTTTCATATAAATATTATTATAAAGGTAATCTTTCGAAGAATTCATCATAAATCGTAAAAAAAGAAAATTACGATAAAGGTAGGACAATTTTTTTTTCAAAAATAATTTTTAGTTTTATTTTGAAAAATTATAGATCAATTTTCCTGTTGAGGAATTCTATTTGAATTGAATTTTTAATATTCTTATATGAGAATTTAATCCTTTTATAGTGGGTGATACTTTTAATTATAATTCCAAAAATTAATTTATTATTTATTATATTGGAATAAATGAAAAAAAGAAGTTTCTTGAATGAGGAAACTAATTTTTTTTGTAAATAATTTCACAATTGAAATATATAGTAATATGTACCGCATACATTAATGTGCGATGGCTAATTTTAAAAGTTTGAAAATGAGTTGACAAGTTTTCGCATGTTTCATAGAATAACAAACTCTCTTTCTCTCTAAACGATGTTTTGAAGCGGGTCGAAGTTTCCAAGTTACTTTTTTTTTTTATCACAATAGCATATTCTCGACGTTTTTATATACCTAACAGCACATATATCAGACCAATACGAGAATCCTTTCCAAACTACGAATAATGTTACGGATTTTAGGTCAACAAATGGACTTGAAAGTTGATGCGGAAAACTTGGCAACGACTGTTTGTGGTTGATTTTTCTTCTCGACAATATAATGTATCTATTAGTAATTCTTTCGAGGAAAATAACTTTTTTTTTCTTAAATTCCTAGCAAAAAAAAAAAAATACAAAATTATTAGTGACAATTGTTGAAAGTATAACTTAGAAAAGAATGAAACAAGCTCTAAAATAAGTTGATGGTAAACAAATTTTGAGAGTAAAGTTGAAATACTTGTCAAGAATATTTACATAAATTATTATTTGAAACTGACTTTCGTTTAAACATTCTAAACTTCTGTATAGGAAATATATAGATAAAAGTTTACCTTTCGAAAAAGAAATTTGACTTTTACAATAAATTGTTTAAAATAGAAGTAAATTCTGTGGATAAGTTTGCTTGTGAAACTTTTCTAACTTTTGGAAGATGAGTTTTCAAACAATCAACAAAGTAGAGTAAAAACTTTATGACCAAGTTTTTCTTGATAGATATAGAGGTAATTTTTTTTTATTTTCCTATTTTTATGAAACCTATATTAGTTAAAAGAATAATTTTCGAAATGAGGAACTGTCAATATTGATTGTCTTTTATTAGATAAATATTTTTATAAACCTGTATTTACCATGTAAATCAATCAATAATTTCAGAGAACGAGATGGATCAGATCAACTTGTATTGAATCTTGCTTTTTTTAGTATCAAGAAATAAAGTTCAAATTTCATAAGCTATCATCTAGAATTTTCCATTTTTCCCCTCCTCACTCTTTCTCTTCTTACGCTAGAAAATCAATCTAACTTTGATATCAACTTTTCAATCTCCAAGAGAGACGAATCTCTTAATCTTGTAAAATGCGACATTGACAACATTTAATTGACTCTGCTCCGCACACAATAAAATTTATCGTTAATTGTCTTTTTCAATCAATTTGACAATTATCTTTTATAATTCTTATATTATGTATAGTTTCTTCGAAGTACTTTAATCGACAATTTTCTTTCATTGAAAAAAAAAACAAAAAATTTTTTTCACTTCACTGTCATAAAATCATTGTCATTCTCATTGTCATTGAAACTAAAGATCCTGCGCGCTTCGATAGACGAGACATCAATTAATCTTCGACCGAAAAAAATAGGTCAGATGTGACGATATTTTACGCGAAAGAAAAAGAGAGAGAGAGAAAGAGTATATATACTCAGCACACAATTTTAAGATAAAAACTAGGTCTGTGCTTTTGCTATTCTTTGGAAATGCGAAATATACATAGGGAATAAAGTTGTAAGTTCCGTGACATGCGAAAAATATGTGAAGAAGAATTTTTATCCTATTCATCATATGAGAAAGTATAATTTTAAATTCGATATTAATAAAAAGCGGAAACTTAAAAATCCGTAAAAATCTTCGACCACTAGCGCCTTTTTTTTCTCTTTCTATTTCCCTCAATTCATAAGAAATGAAAAAATCGAATGAGACTGCTGATCGGCAAAAATATGTCTCCCTCAAAGTAGAAAAGAATTATAAATGAAGGAACGTCTCTTTCGTTTCACGAAAATCTTTCTGAACAATTTTTGAATTGAGTCCAATCTCGTGGAAAATATCGAATTTTAAAGTCAGCTTATTGAAAATGAATAAAGTTTTAAAAGAACTTTTTAAATAGAGATTTTTAACTTTAACGTTAAAAATTTTTATCGTTCTTATATTAAATTCAGTAACTGCGTCTTTAACGGGTTTTTAAGTTTTTTTTTTTTAGAGTTGTAAATCTAAAATTAATTTCCACAACTGCAACTTCATAATTAAATAATGTTGTTCAATTTTATCTATTTGGACTAATTAGTTCAAAAAACATGTTTACTAATTTATTAGTAAAATATGTAATTAAATAAATAATTCTTAATCAAATTTGATTAATTAGTAAACAAAAAATAATTTCCTTTTCTATATAATTATTGTTCAGATAATTATTTTTTATAATTATTATTTATTATAAAAATGTGTTCTAAAATGAAATTTCTTATACTTTGAACGTTACTTCATCTGCGCGTGTGGTCTAAAGTTTAGAAATATTTATCAATGATATATTGCAAAAACAAAAAAATGGAATTACATTTTACAGAAACCTGATAAGTATATACAACATTATTAGTCGTAATTTATAATTTTTAAAAAACTTATAAAAATTAATAATAAAAAATAAAAATTTCTAAATAAAATAAAAAAAAAATTTCCCAGAAAAAACTAAACGCTGTAAATTAAGTTCCCAATATTTCTCTTTAATACACACACGCACGTCATTTACCATTATTATTCTAATTTTTTATTCCGTTTGAACGTATGTAATTATAAGTAAATTCATTTTTCAAATGAAAAACTCATACAGGATAAATATCAGGCAAATAATAATCAGAACAGTAGAAATTTAGAAGAGGAAATATTTCTTTTGTAAAAAAAATATTATTAACATACCTTTGATCGAAGAGGGAGGGGGATTTCGTTTCCAACTTCCATTTGTGCATTTTCTCTTCGTTTCATTTCTTTCTCTCTTTCTCTCTTTCGTGCTTCCCACTTATCATTCTCTCTCATCATTCTCTCTTCTTTTTTTTCCTTCTAACTTTCTCTCTCTTCTGGTCTGTAATTTTGAAAAAATATCGTGTCTCGAGTACAAATTTTCTATAAATATTGACATTTAATTATATGACAATTATAATAATATATATAAAAAAAAATTCGTTTCAGAAAAAACGTATCCAATATTTTTTATCAAAAGAACCTTTCAAAGAAATTGACCGCACGCTCAAATAAAATGACTATTTTTTTAATAAGCTATAATTCGAAGAAAGCCCTCCCTCATAACTTATTAAATAAAAGAATAAATGATTTAGTTTTTTTTTCCAACAAAAAAAAAAAGTCAGCGTTTGATTCATTATAAAGCTTCGGGTGAGAGATGAATATAGAGGATTATATGGTTTTTGCTAATATCAGAAGAGTAAGTGGACTATGAAATAACATCAAAGAAACGTAAGTACCAACTGCATGGAATCGAAGAACCTGTATAGCTTTGTACTACTTTGAAAACTTTAGAAAGCTCATTACTCCGCTTGCGAAGCTGAAATTCTCATGCAGTCAACTCTCGCAGTCCAATGTTCCATGAGTATAGAAAACCCGTTGGGATTTTCCAAAGTTTACTCCTCTTTTCAAATGAGAAACTCCCCCGCGCGCGCGTTGAAAACTGAATCCTCCCGCCTTTCAATTGTTCCACTCGACCACTCTCTATCCTTTTTCTCAAAAACACTTCTTCGCGGTAGTAGTTTCGTCTATTATTTTCCAATGCCTTGGAATAAAAAATTTGCTTAAGTACATTTTTCTTAGATCAAAGCTTTATAAATATTTAACGAGGCTCCATAAGCAAAATTTTAATTGACGCTCGCGAATTACCGTGCAATTATTATTGAAAAAAATTGTTTTTTAATTTAACTATTAAATAAAAATAAACAAATTATTTAATAATTTAAAAGAAAGAGGCAAATATTCAAATTAGAAATGAATAAATTTTAATCAACAATAAGAAAATTGCACTTTTATCTACTTTTGCCTTGACAAATGAAGCTCTGCTAATCTCCCTTAAATAAAAAAAAATAATAATATTGATGCATCAAATTGTACGTAAGTTCAAGTAAAGCATTTAATCTGAACAACACTTCCTCATGATGTAACCGGTGCAATTAAACTAATCGACACTATAATATAAATGGAAGATTCCGCGTGTATTTATTGAAGGTTACGTTCAATTTTTGTCCTAATTTTTTTTCCATAATTCTTTAATATTTAATACTTTAATTTTGTCTAAATATTTTTAAATACGTAAAACTTAAATTTAAAGTAGAAAAAATGCGGTCAAACAATGAATAATAAATTATAAATCAAAACCATTATTCAGAAAAAAAGTATATATAAGTGTGAAAAGTTTAAAAATAATCATGGATTGACGCAAGTAGATTACAACTGAATCTGCGCCCAGTTTTATTGCAAATAAATGATATATCAGCTTTCCGTTGAATGACCTCCGATATAAATAAATCAGTAGCGTATATTCTTTTTGTTTTTCTCCACTCAAAATGCAAAAAAAATGTCCATTATTTACAATTCGATTATTTTTTTTCTGAAATTCCCGTATTTCAATTTATTCACTGTTTTCCCGCTAAAAAAAGAAAAATAATTCGCGAATTCAGACACAAAAAAAAGTGATCACCATTTTTAAAAAAAAAAATATTTAAAAGAAATTTTCGTCTAGAAAATACTGTCTGTTTCTCGAAAAAAAATTTACACTGCTTCCGGTGCCCATAATTTAAAAGTCCTATCAAATGAACTTGTGGCGATGAATTGATTATCCGTTGATACATCAGCGGACATTACTTTTCCATCATGTCCTGGTAATGTTTTTAATGGTTGCCATGTTTTGTTGGACCATATTTTCGCCGTACCATCATATGAGCTAGTGACTAGATATTGTCCCTCGACTTTTTGATATTTCACATCAGACAATAAACTTGTGTGCGCAGGAATTGTATAAATGCACGAACGTTTACGAAGATCCCAAATTTTACATGTATTATCCTCACTTCCAGTGGCCACATGAAAACCATTTGGCGAGAAGTCTATTCCAAATATTGATTTTAAATGACCCTCCATAAACATTATACACCTACCGGTTCGTAAATCCCATACTCTGCCAAATGAATCTTGACCGCCAGTTGCCACAACACTTCCGTCAGATTGAAAACTGGAAAAAAAAATCAATCAAATAAATAATTTTTCGAGAATATTAATTATTTGAATACTTGCCTGATACAATGAACAGGTTTCGCGTGTCCCTCTTGATGTAAAACTTCCGCTTGTTGTTCCAAATCCCAAAGTCTCCATGAGGAATCATAACAACAAGTGCCGAGAAATCTTCCCGATGGATGAAATGCTATTCTTGAAACTCGAAATGGTTCATGACCCTCAACTTCAGCTAATGGTTTCTCTCCAGTTCCACCTCCCCACAATTTAACAGTACCTGTACGACAAAAAAAAATTCCTCTCAATTAAATTGAAAATTATTCTAATTCACAAAATTAGAATTGAAATTTACCATCAGATGCACAACTGGCCAATACACAAACATGTTCACTTTCGTTGCCAAGTGGATCATCCTCAATCGTTGCTTTTGGATGAAAAACAATACATCCAACATTACAATTATGACCTTTCAATGTTCGCAAATGATTACACTCTGGTACAGACCATAAATTACAACTTCCCGACCAGGAAGCTGTGGCAAGAATTTTTGAATTTGGACTAAATTGACAATAGGAAATTGGTCTTGTATCGCCAATTTGCGAACAATAAATGCTCAACGCTTGTAATTTTTTCAATAATTCCTGACGTCGAGCCGTACGTGTTGCACCGGGAAGTTCCAATTCCTGTCTAGCATTATCGAGTCTCGCCCTTGCTCTCGGCAATGAATAAGCTGAAAATTAAAACAAAATAACAAAAACGTTTTCAGATATTTCATTTATATTTAAATAAAGAAAATAAATGCGAATTACATGCAATCCATTGACGGGCAATTTGAAGTGAATCGGGCCCCTCGTGATACCAAGTTTCTGTATCTTTTTCAACGAGTTGCGATGGTTTTTCCTCGTCATCGTGTTTCTTTTTAATTGCATCTTCGCCGAGACTGGCCAATAGTTCCCTTAATCTTGCACGTCTTTCAGCGGGTCCCTCGCCAAATAAACAAATTGGTTCGCCTAAATGTCGAAGATTCTTTTTCACCTCTGAATCGTCTGTTGAAACATTAATTTGTCGCGCTTTTTTACGACGTTCAAATTCCTCAAGAAGTGCTTGTCGATCTTTTGACATTTCATCCTCCAATTCCATATATTCAGTTGATATATGTACATTTCCAGCTGACAATGTAATATTTGTATTTTCATTTGTTGTTGAATCATCTTTTTCATCATCAGAACCATCGTCTGCGGCTGCTGTCGCTGCTGCAATTCTCGCTCGTTCAGTCTCCTCCAATGAGCCATAATGAACAATTTTTTGTTTTTTAACATAAATTTCCTCGTCGTCAGACATTTTTATCTAAAGAAATAGAAAAAACAATTATTATTAAAAATATCAACATATATTATTTAAAATAAATATATATATGTATCGACATAACCTTATTTTCTAAAGTTTTTATAAATTTACATTTTCAATATAGATAAATTTACATTGGAACATTACCACATTTTTGTTTTGTTACATTACAAAAAATATATATTTTCTAAACAAAAAAACTTAATCAAAACGAAATAGAAAAAAATTTTACAACTTTTTCCAGTGTCGATTTTAACGAAATAACAAACAAAAACACAAATTGAAAATGCAAATATTCTTAAATATAACGAAAAAAATTATTTAAATATGCAATATAGGAATTTATATTTTAAAAAAGTGGAAAAAATGTTTTCAAAGGTTAGGAAATCGCTGTTTAATGAAAAAATGAAGACAATCCATAATGTAAATAAACAATAGTAAAATTTGAATTAATTTTCACTTACCTTTGATTTTCGAAGGTAATATAGATTGTTTGCATTAAATTACAATGCAAAATATAGCAAAAAATTAATAAAAACACAAAACAAACACGCCGAACAACAATTGAAAACAACGTCTGTCCTGTCGATAATTGCAAGGTTAGGTTGGATCTAATCACGTGACGCTCGACTTTAGGCGCGTATAAATTCAAATATTTAAAATTTCTGTTACAAGAAAATATTTATTTATCTATTATAATTATAAATAGAAAACAATTCTTTATTTTTTATAAATTCTTATGTAATAATAATGCAAAATAATAATGATTATTTATTAAAAATAACATAACATTATATAAATATGTGGATTCAGTTATATTATATTGAGAATGAAAATAACAAGATTCTTTTATATTTATTAATGGAACATCTCAGTTTTCTTAGAAATAGAGAAATTTACAAAAAAAAATATAATAATCTCCGGGGAATTAATTTAATGATAAAATAGATGTTATCACAAGAAAAAAATATCTTGAAAAAAATGCAATTTATTCTCAATGTATTTCTTTATTCCCAAAAGACTTTTTTCAACGAGAAAAATTTCTTATGCAAAGAAAATTTTTTTGAGTCTTCTATTAAGAAATAATGTCAAGAATAGTAAAAATAATATAATTATCTGTAAAATATAAACTAAATTTTATTGAATTTATTAATAATTAAATAATTTATTAATAATAATAATTTATTTATTAAATAATTAAATGTCTTTTTTAATTACATTTTACTCAATTAACAGTACAATCTTTTAAAATATATTCGCAACAATTAAATAATTATTTATTTTGAATTTGTAATTTAAAAAATTAATATATAAAAAAATTTATTTTTTTTTTTTGTTTTCAATGAGAAATTATTTAGAAAAATGAGTTCTGTAAATATTAGCAAATTGTTCATTACATACAAAAGTAATTATCGTATGAGGTCCTATTCTGCAATAAGTCGGCACAAATCCTTTCCAAAGGGCCATTATCCCTTCATTTTTTGCAATATTTATGATAACTTTTAACATTGTCGGTGGTTTTTTAACATCTTTTAAATTCTGTATCCTATAAATACATCAAGTAAAAAAAACACAAATATTAATTATTTCAATTTTTAATTAATTATTTATTAATAATAATTATTTATTGGTTTTAACTAAATTTACCGTGTTTTTGCAATGTCAAATGGCATTGAATTAAACGAAGTAACCAAACCGGAAACCATTGCCGAGTACACGTGAAGTAAAAATCCCTCTGACACGTTTACTAATATAAAAATTAATAATAAAAAGAAGAAAAATTAATAAAAAAAAAATACAATGGAATTTTTTTTTATTTGATTATTAAATAATTAAATACATACATTCGGAATTAATTAGAACTTTTGTTTGACTGTAAGTAGCTAATTGTGAAATATTAACAATAACAGCTCTTCCCATTGTTGCGACACTTCCTCTCCATAAATTTATTATTCCCTCTTCCTTCGCCACTCTTATAAATGCATCTACCACATTTTTATAATTTCTTCTCTGATCTAAAATAATTGTTTTTCTTTTTCAATTTTGATATTTTAATAGAATTTTATTTTTTGCTTAAAATTATTTTTTTAAAATTAATTTTATTAAATTTTAATATTATACCTGGAGGTAGTCGTCCATCGGTGGTCATTCTCACTAATGCAAGATCAGCTGGAGTTCCAATAAAAGCACCAGATCCACCAGCTATTGCAGCCATTGTAGATAAAATAAAAAAATTTGGCTTACTCGTGTAATTTTCTCTATAAAAAATTAAAATTACATTTTCAATTTCAAGTAAATTAAATTATTTTAATAATAATTTTTTATTTCACCAAACCTCCAACTATCTTGAAGCTGATTGTAAACGCCCAATCGAGTTGTAGTATAAGTTGATTGTCTCACCAAACTAGCAGATAAGCCATCATAAAAATTAATTATTCTCTCATTACGAAGAATATGTAAAAAAGTTTTTCGTATCGAAATTGTTTGCGTACTGATTTGCATTCGATTTTTAACCACATCAGTGGGATGTACCACACAAGTTGCACATATACTACAAAAGTTAAAAAAAAATTTTTTTTTTTAATTTAATTAAATTAATTAATTAAAACAAATTTAATGAAATAAGATTTGGAAAAGAAAATGATTTACAAGTAATTATTTAATTTATACAATTACCCGGATAATCCAGCATTAAGAAAGTTTATAAAAGGCGGAAGAGATTTTGATTTATTTTCTTTCGATTGATCAGACATAATTTTACTTGTTAAATATTAATTAACTAATGAAATTAATTATAATATTTATTTAACCTAACTTAATTCTAATCACATAAAAACATAAATATTAATTCGATTCTCATTTGTCAATTTTAAAATGGCGTTTAATTTTTTATTTGATTAATTTTCTTTATAGAAAAATGTTTAAATTAAAGGGAAAAAGGAATAAAAATTTTGTTTACTAAAATTCAACTTGTGATTTAAAAAATAAAAAAAGATCGCTGTCATAATTTAAATGACATGTCAATTAAAAAGTTTTTTGTTTTTAATTAAGATTTTTTTTTCAAAAAAAAAATTCATAGTTTCCTTTTTTTTAGAAAAAATGTTTTGGACATCTTTAGATGATTATAGTTCGACTTCGAGTAGTGATTCAGAAGAATTTGTTGATTCCATTGGTACACGAGATGAATATGAAGTTATTTTAAAAAAAAAATCCTCCATAGAAGAAAATGAAGATGATGAAGAATCATCATCATCATCATCATCTGAAAAGAAATTACTTTCTAAGGAATCAAAAATACTTTGTCGTGCTGAGCCAAATTCCAGTCCTTTTATTCAAGTATATGAAATATTATGATAAATAAAAGTTAATGTAAAATAAATTTAGATTTGAATATAATTAATAAGGGAATTGAAAATTTTTTTTGCTCAAGGAACCATTGTCGGAAAAAGTTTCTTTACAATGTTTAAATTCGAATGAACGTTTGCAAACATTATTAATGAAAAAAGATGAATATATACTAAATTTAAAAAAATTATTATGCTGTCAACGTGAGCAGTTGTATTTTTTTTTGAAAATGTCAATCAAAGAAGATATGTTGACGTCATTCAAGAATACAGTGAGCTTTTTTTGAGAATATTTAAAAAATAGATTTTTTTCATATTTTATTTATTATTGTAATTTTTATTCAGAAATTCTATCTAAAATTAAAAAATTTCCATTAGTGTCAAGAAACGGATGGTTTTTATGATAATGAAAGTCTCTCAATGGCCCTAGAAAGATTTAAACAGAAAAATAATTTTCCATCCGAACAAACTTTAATGCGAGAAGATATATTAAAAACCCTCATGAGATTAGAAAGATTAATTAAACAGCAGGTTTAATTTATTTTATTCATTTATCTAAATTGTTATTACAATAAATTATAACTAAAAAAAATTTTTAAATTTAATAAAAAAAATTAATTAAAAATTGTCAATTTTTTTTTCATTTTGAATTTTAATTAAAAAATTTATTCTAACAGAAAAAATTGGTAACAACAATGGAATGTGACTTGACATGCGGTAAAGGAAATAATTCTGCCATCGATCTTTACCAGTATAAGATTCATGTATATTTTTTAATTAATAAAAAATATGGAGATATATATGTTATAGGATTTGCGATAATTAAAAAAATAATAATAAAATTTGCTGTATGAATTTTATTTTAGGAAACATATGAAAATAGATTATTGCAAGGAACGCAACAATTGTTTCAAAGTTTAGAATCTCTGCGAATTCAATTAAAACGAATTGGATTAATTGAAGATGAACGAATTCATTTGATTGAACGTGTTTATTCATTACCGTCAAGCCAACGACAATTGTACGGACATTTAATAATGTTGGAGAAAGAAAAACTTCAATTGAACGATGATATTGTGAAATTAAGGGAAAAACGAAAAAATTTGAAGGGAACCGCCGAATTTTTACAGGACACTGTTTCATCAAAGGTAATAATTTAATTAATTAATCTAACTCTTAATTTTCTAAATAAATATAAATAAAAAAATTTTGTTTAGATAAATAAATTATATTTTTATAAATAAATAATTAGTATATTACAAATGAATTTTCGCAAATTCACATTTATTTTTTTCCAGATTGCAGAGTTCGATTTGAATAGAATCAAACCCGGTCTAGAGACGCATGTGAAAATAATGGAATTAGTAGAAAAGGGAGAATTATCGCTAATTACAATGACAAAAGATGAAAAGGGTCGATTTAAAAATGAATATTCTCAGCTCTGTGCGGAGAATACAGGTTTGAAAAAGCAATTTTTTTTTCCAAATTTGAGAAAAATTTTTTAATTAAAAAAAATACAAAAAAAAATTATCAATATAGAATTGACGCAAAAATTACAAGATTATGATAAAATGATTATCGAGCGGGAAGATTTAAAAAAACAGATCAATGTCCTTGTAGAAAATTGTTTACAAATGGAACGTGAATTGAGAAATTTGCGACGAAATAATAAAACTGAAGAATTATTGAATGAATTAAAAGAAACATCAACGCACAAAGATCAATTGAGAATGCAACTTGATAAAATTGTTAAAGATGGTCCATCAGTATTGAGAGTCTGCGGTGAATCGATAACAAAAATTGTCGAGGAACGCGATCAACTTCGATTGAAGGTTGATTTTTTTCCTCCACAAAAATAAATTTATATTTTCATCGAAAAAAAATTAATATATTTTTAAAAATTTTCAATTTTCGTTTATAAAAAAGAAAAAAAAATTGTTACAGCTAACTGAGTACCTTTCAATGGATGAAGATATAAAACTTTTGAAATTGAGAGCCGCTCAGTCGGACGTGGATCGCAAGGAAGCAGAAAAATTGAAAGCAATTGTGTCTGAATTGGAAGAAATAAAAGTATCATATATGGCAATCGTGGATAAAAATGGTCATAATCTTGATTTAGTGAATCCAACGGATCGTGAAAAATATCGAAATATGTGTAAAGAATTAAATTATTTAAAGCAAGTGGAAATTCAAAATGAAAGACTCAATGTGGAAGTAAATTTTTTTCCCTTTTTTAGATTTGTCAAAATTCTCAATTTTTTTTTGTCAATATTTGAAATTAATATTAAATTGTTAATTTTAATAATTTCATAATGCGTGCATAGAATTTAAAGAATCGACAGACAATAGAGAAACAAGAGACAGAAATTAAAGAATTGCTCGATATTGTCGACAAATTGGTCTTAAATTTAAAAATAGATAAAGGAAAGAAAGAAATTCCTGTGGATGGTTTGCCGGAGGGTCCGGATGTTAAGACCTTTCTATCGCAAGATGATAAAAATAAAATCGAAAAAATAAGAGATAGAATTCTCTGTGAAGCGCAAAAAACGACAAAAACAAAAATTCAAGTCGTACGAAAATTGAATCGCAATACAGGTGGACTCAATGTAATAATAAATATTTTCAAAGTACGTATATCACAATTAAAAATGCAAATTTATTTAAATATTAACAAATTTAAAAAAAAATTAATAAATCCTTTTTTTACAGTATTTTCTAAAATTGGGACTTTTGTTACGCAAAGGTAAATCTTCAAAAATGTAAAATAAATCTTTTTTTTGTTATAAAAAAAGTGTATTTAAAAATTTCCCAAAAATTGTAAATATATTTTTTAATTAATCATTGTTTTATCGTTTGTAAGACATTTTTTTTTATATGAATTTCGATACAAAAAGAATACTTATTTTTCTTCTCATTTGAATTATTTGGTTCTGGCTGGCGAATTTTGTGATTTTGGTCTCACTTCATTTTTAAATTGCTGTAAAGAGAAGAAAAATAAAATTTAAAAATATAAAATTTAATATCCTTTATCAAAATAAAATTAATTACCTGTAGAACTTTAATAATTGGAAAAAGAGGTCTAACACCATCAGATTCTTTGAGAACTTCTTCTCCATAGCGAAGAATCTTCTCATTAGTTTTCTCAATTATTTCTCTTGTTATATCATTTTTATTGTCCAATTCTTCAATTCGTTTTTGTTCAATTTCTTTTAGCGCCTATAAAAAATAGAAAATAAATTTTAAAAATTAAAACAAAATACAAATAAAATAATTAAAATATTTTTTTTTTTTTAATAATTACAATATAAAGAAATTACATACAATTTGCTTCCGAAGTGTTTTGGCCATTTTTTGTTTTTTCAATTTTTCCCTTTCGTAATCCTGGGCTTTAATATTCTTGTCGAATTTGTCCCTCTCGAGTCTCTGTTTTATTTCCCATGCTTTAAATTTCTCATCCTCTTTTTTCTGATTTTCCAACAAAATAGCGAGTTCCTGTCGATATTTTTCCATTTCCACTCGTAATTTTTCCTCATATTGTTTGCGTGCCACTTTTTTCTCATTTTCCTCAATTTCCTTTTTCTCCAATGCCTTCTTTAATATTATTTCTTCCTCTGCGACACGCGAATTTGCAATAGCTGCGCATTTCTTTGCTAATATGAAAAAAAAACAAATTTTCTATTTTTTCTTTAAAAAAAAAAAAAAAATTGAAATGTTTAGTGAATAATTTTTTTTTCACCTAAATATTCGGAACGACGAATTCTTTCTTCTTTTTCTTTTTTTATTTGATGATTTAATTTACTTTCTATTTGTTGTTTTCCTTTATTATAAACAGCCATTGCTTGTTCCTCGAATTTCTCATCGCGCTTAACTTTTAGTTCGTGTTTCCGTTTATCCTCAAGCGCTTTTAGAAATTGTTCTCGTAATTTTTTTTTCTTTAATTCCAACTAAAATAAATTGAATTTTATATTTTTTGTCTGGAATTCTGTCTTATTTTCTTTTCACTATAATATTTCAATTAATATTGTACTTTAATTAAAAAAAATATTATTTTATTATTAAATATAAAATTTAATTTTTAATTAACGAAATTTCTAAATTTTAAACAATAATTAAAAAATTTACTTCTTCAATTTCCAGATTTTTTTCCATTTCAATTTTTCTTGCTATGTTTGATAATTCCTGTTTTGCTGTTTCTTTTTGAATTTCCTCTTCTCGTTTTGAAATACATTTATTTCTATGGATTCTAAAAATATGATTTTCTTTTAAAAAAACTTAATTTCTACTACTAATTTATGAATTAAAAAATTTTCTTCTGTTTTAAAAATACATTTTTAAATTTTTATTCACACTCACTGTTTTTTTAGTTCATCTGCGTAGATTTTATTTTTCATCATTAATTCTTCAGCTTTTTTTCTTTCTTCTTCTTCATGTTTTTTAATTTCCTGTTTTATCATCTCTGAGGTTTCATTTTTTTCTTCCTTCTCGAGGAGCTTTAAATTTTTTTGAAATTCAAGCTGTTCATCTAATTCTCTGAGACACTGGAAAATAATAATAATAATTATTATTATTATAATTATAATAATGATAATAATGAAAATAATTGAAATATTCAACCTCTGATGTAAGAAGCGCTCTGTTAATAAGTCTACATTGAGGTTTTGTATAAAGTATTAATTTTTTAGCTTCATTAATTATTTCTGCATGTTCTGCTGCTTTTTTTGCCGCCATTTCCTCCATAAACTGAATTTTATCAACTTCTTCTTTTTTATTTTTAGCCAATAATTCTTCTTCTTTTTTCTTTTTTATATTCTAAAAATTTGTATACATTTATTTTTAATTAATTTTTTTTAAAACAAAATTTTTAAATTCACTTATAATTTTCTAATTATGCTGACAAAAAAATTTTTGAATAAAATTAAGTATAAAAATTAATTTAAATAGGTAATAATTAATAAAAATTGTTAATTATTTTAATTATGCAATTATATTAAAAAAGTATTTTTTTCTTAATAATTAATAAATACCTCAATTGTATTATCCCAAGTTTTGGACATTTCATAAGTGGCTTTTTTAATTTCCGTTAATCTTTTTACCTCTTTTTCGGCAAGAATAGCCATTCTGTGTTTTTCGGTTGTATAATCGACAAAATGATCATAGGCTTTTTTTGAAGCAATCAGAGCCAACGGTCTATCATGAATCTATTTCCAAAAAAAAATTTTAATTAAAAAAAGATTGTTTTTATCAGTTAATGTCTTGAACATAAATATACCCGATTTAATTGATCTCCTGGTTTTGTGTAAACAGTAGAAAACATTTTCAATGTTTAAAATAAAAAATGTTTCCTTTCTAATTTATAGAAACAATAATATACACTTAAAAAAATAATTTACAATTATTTTTGACACTTGTGAAATAAAACGTGACAATACAATCACTTTGCAGTTCTTTTTTTTTAATAGAAATAACGGTTGACATGACAACTCAGTAAACAGAAAATAAATCCTAACAAAAAGCACATAATTTAATCAATAAAGTTCATATATAATTAAATATTTAATTACCAATTTGTAATATTCACTTTATTCAGTTTTATTTAATCAAATATTATTATTGTTAACTTATAATTTATTAATTTGTTTATTTATTCGTTTTTAAAATTGTAAAATTTGAATTTTAAATTCAAATCGACTAATACGAGATACTTTCATCAGTTCCAAACAGATGGCACCATCCATGCATTAAAAAAATCAATTTCATTACAATCAATGCAAATTTTTCGAAAGACTAAACTTATTTACAGACAAATAAACGTATTAAATTAACAAATTTTCATAAAATTATATTTAACTTGTATTTCTTTTCTATTTGCCCTTTAAACAATATCCCATTTTATTAAATTAAATTCCGCTCAATACAATGAAGCGCGGGAATATTTTTAAACGATATCGACTGAACTCGAAAAAGTTAGTATCGAAAACATTCGCAACATGGACGTGGCGCAAGTGAGCACCTGTCGTGACATGTGGTACAGCTGATTGGCGGTTTTGTTGTTGGAAAAGTGAGTAAAAACAATTTTAAAACAAATTTTCTTATTGTTCTCGTTAATTTCTACACTCTAAAGTATCATCGGATGTGTTTATATTGAGTGAATAATCATTATTGAAAAAATTCTGACCGCATTTTCATCTTTGTTGTCATATATGGTATTTATGCAACACGTGTGCCGCGGCATTATAATGATTTTTAGATCGTTGATTAATGTTTCCAGTAAATAATGAGAGTAATAAAAATTTTACATATTTTTCCTGTGGAATTAATTGGAAAAAAAGTTTTAATAGTTTGATGGAAGCAATACATCAGGTAATGTAGTTCTAAAGTTCTATCTGTATACATATATGTATACCTATATACATATGATGTGTACCCGTATTTGTTTTAATGTGCGTATTTATTTTATTGATAATTTAATAATTTATTATTTAACAATTATATCTCTTTATTATTATTAAAATATTAATTAGCAAAATATGTGGGTTTCATGTCAAAAGAGATTTAGGAACAAACGTTCGTGAAATTTCCCCCTCCCCTTATCATAACGTATTTTCTTTTCGATTTCGGGTCATTCACCCTCTTGGTGAAATTGCGCCTTTTTTGTGTGTTTGCTTGTCGCATAATATTGCCAATTTAGAAGAAGTTTCTGTTAATTGTGAGTCTTCTTGAAAAGTTTAATAGTGTTGAAGATGTTATTATTTTATGCGTTTGTTGATGGAGAAAAAGTTTTGAAAATAAAAGTGAAGTTTTGTAAAATGGGGTGAGTTGAAATTTTTGCACGAATTTTAGGTTAGGGTGTTATCTAACATTTTTCTTTACATTAAAATAGTTCTTAATTTTTTCGTTTAAATTAATTACATTATGACAGTGTTTGTAGAAAATGAAAATTATTAACTTCGAATAGATTAATTAGGTTATGTATCAGTATTGGTAAGTGATCAGAAGTAATTGCTTAATTGTTAAGTGTTATAGAATCTAATCTGATTTCTTTGTCTCTTTTCAATATAATTGATTTTTTATTATTATACTAAAGCTACTAATTGTGTATCAATGGTTTAATTATTAATTAAAAAAATACTGATTTTTAAATAACAAAATCAATGTTATGGTAAATATTACGACAAATTTACTTTCCTCAAGCATTTTTTGACGAAATTTTTTGTTTGAATTAATCATTCTGTTTAGCAAAAAATATACATTCGAATTCAAATTCTATTTTAATCATTCTGTAAATAAAAATTATAATCTGGAAATTGATCTATTATTACTTTCTTTTGATCGTTGATCACCTATACTCATTGACAAATGAATTGGTGCCAACGGAATTACTTTTGTTAAAGGGGTGATACAATTAAGTGACACACCAGTTTTAAACTGTGATACAGTGTCAGTAAGTCAAATGGACCACTCGCTATACGCAATTAATTAAAAATTAGATTAGACTTCTTCTCCAATTTATTCTTGAAAATTATTTATTTATTTTAAAAATAACCTCTAAATTTGGATATTTTAAAATATTTAGCTAAAAAATTTAGTGTTATAAAAATTGTTGAAGTAAAATATGGTTATAAAATATTATAAATAAAATAATTTATTATTTAATTTCTTGTGTAAAAATTTGAATTCTTTTTTAGGTGTGAAATATTGTGCAAGTGCCAAGGAAGTGATTGCGTGAAGCTGGAAACTTGGAAACAAAATCTAAAGCTGAACTTGAGTGAGTGTTTTTTATTAACACATTTTTTTTATCAGTTTAATTATAATGACTTCCTTATTTATTAATTGTATATGACTTTGAATTAATTTCGGACAACTTTTTTTTTAATTTATTTATTTTAAAAAAAGGTCAAAATGTTATCGACTCGTATCATAACATTTATAGAAATTTCTAACTTTTCAAAACGATAACGTGTATTAAACACGATTCGATAAGTTGAATATTTGTTTTTATTTTTGGAAAACTATGACGATACGCAATTGTGTCTAAAATTATAAACTTTATTTCCCAATAATTAAAATTTTTAAATTTCAAATACGAAATTACTTTTTATTGTTTAAATATTTACTTAAGTTGAATTTAATTTTTTTTATAAAGAAATATTTCTTTTTCTGTATGTAATTATTTTTATATTTGAACATTTACTTTGTTTTTATTAAACAAAAATTTTAACTTTTGAAAAAATTATTTTATTTTTTTTTCAATAATAATACTAAAGAGAAATGAAAGGATGGAACACATTGACAAAGACAGATATATGTTGTATTATTTTGTTTTTTATTAAAAAATCTTGTACCATTTACTATGTACACTACAAGTAAATATCACAGGTACATGTTTCTCTATCACATGATCTCCGTTCGGTCATTTTTTTCACAATTAAAAACATAAAAGAAATTGAAATTTCTTTTTTACATATTTGACAATAATTCGTCGAGTTGACCGAGGAGAGGGATAACAACGTTCTAGCTATAATGAAAACATGTCGCGCTTTTAAAATTTAATCCATTGGATTTAATTATTACAATAATACTTTCTCATTATGATGATGAGAATGTAAAGAGAAAAATCTTATGTTTGGTATTACAATGAAGGAATTCGGAGCGCGACAAATTCTGCGCTAAGAAAAAATAAATCCTCAATAAAAGTAAATAAATTTATATATATATGAAATAAACAATAGATAAAACCTAACTGTCGCGTAAATTAAAGCTTTACCCCACTTATAATGCGTGGACGCGTGTTACACGTGTCGAGATCTGGGTATACAAAATATTCTACGTGCGATGATGAAAAAAACCAAAACAAAACTATTTTTTTTTATTTCACCGCAAGTGTCCTTGAGCAAATTCTACTTATAAACTACTCAAAGATTAACTCTTTTTTTTTAACACTGAAACGTTTTTTTAACGATCCTTTCTAAAATTTTGATTTGAAATTCACCAACACTTTATCAAATCACAGACTTAAAATTGCCTCACTGGAATCTTCTTCTTCTTCTTGATTCCTTGTAAATTGCAACAAATCCCAATTTATTCAGGGAATGTTTTTTTTCGAAAATAGAGATTTACCAAGGTCGCCAAACTGGTTCAATAGGTTTAACAACTCGAAGAAGACCCTGATGATGATGATGGTGATGATGTTGTGTTTGTGAGGAGGCAACTTCAATATCGGATCTTGCTGGCGATGGTTGACTTGATGCTGGTGTCAATGGCATTGAATATTCATCGGAACTATCAGAAATTGATGATGATGATGATGTTTGTGGTGCTGCTACATGAATTGTCAATGGTCCTGTTTTATCCATTGAATTCAATTTATGTCCAAGATGTGTCATTAATTTTGTACCCAATGCAACATCAACGCCGGGCGTCGCTGCCAAACAACGGCTCACTTCATTAGCACAATGTGTATAACCCGCGCGAAAACGATCAGCATCAATCACTGGATTCGCTGATAATCTCTGTTGTCTTTGTAATTTATGAAGATGACGTACTGTCAATTCAAGAATATCAGCCTTTTCCAATTTTGCCACATTTTCACCGTCGCCCGCCAACGCTGTCACCATTAAATCTTTCAATTCATCCAAACAACGATTGATTCTCGCTCTTCGTTTACGTTCCAACATTGGTTTCATCACCTGTAATTAGAAAAAGAACAATTTTTTTAGAAAAAGGATATTATGACAATTTTTTGGGTTTTTTTTTTTGAAAATTAGGTTTTTTTGTAATTGAATTTGAGAGTGAAACCTACCTTGCGGTATTGATAAGTTCTGGAGATTGGTTGTTCTTGTCCATCGACAATCATGATTTGCTCGTGCATTTGCATGTTAAATCCAAAAATTTCACACTTGAGAAATGTGAAGAGAACTACACAGTTTTACACAAACTCCGATTTTTTGAAAAAAATGTTTAACACTTTTTTTTGTTTCTTTAGAAAGAGAGAGAAGGCGTGCTCGAGTCTCTGTGACGAGTATCGGCTAACCGTTCACCACTGTACGAGAGTCAGAGTGATTATGAATTGCTGGCAGTGGAGCGACGTGCTTATATAGCACATGGGTAAGGGTGACGGTGGAGAGAGACGTGTTATTGAGGCCCAAAGTGGGGGTAGGGCCTTCCGTGGGAACGTTCTGTAGAGCTTGGTTCCCAAGCAAGCACACCACCTGTAAGCGGCAGCTGCCAGACACGCGCCCACACCAAGCCATCGTCACCGATCCTCTGTCCTCGTTCACTTTGCACCCAACCGATCGCCTTTACTTCGTTGATTACTCGCGGCCAAGCCACGAGTATTCTCTTCTAATCCTTTTCTTTCTCTCTCTCTCTCACTTGCTTGCTCTCTTCCGTCCTTTTTTGCACTCACGGAAGGGCGGATCGGGCCTTCCTCGTAGAAAACCTGTATATCTACAACTCGTGCACGTTTTATCTATATCGTTTCTTCTTTTCTTTACCCCCGCGAGCTGTAAAATGGCTATTCGTTTTAATTCTCCTTCTCTCTCTCTCATCTAACTCTTTTATTCGCAATATTGCTTTCTCTCTTAGATCGCCTTCTTGTTTTTGCTTCCACGCACACATCTCTCTCTCTTCCTTCTTATCGATTCCTCTTCTCGTTCGCTCCCTCATTGCCCTCGGTTTAATTTCTACCTCTTTTTCTCTGAAGGAGCGTGCTGGGCACAAGTTAAACTTCTCTCAATCGTGATCGCTGAGGGGGGGCATATAGTACACGTATAAACTTATATTTTACATTCCCCCCCCCATGATTAATGGAATTATTATTATCGATATTTTTCGAATTTTCTTTACAAAAATTTCCCTGTGGTTTGACTATAGGAAAAAACTAGTATTGAATCAAGAAAATCAATGTACTTTGCATTTGATTTCCTTGATATAAGAAAATTGTATTAGTTCGATTTTTTTTTTTGAATTAGGACAAAATTAGTGGATTGAAATATTGTTGATTCAATAAAATCATAAATAGTCCGTATTTAATTCACTAATTTTCTTAATTCAGGAAAATTTATATTTCAAACTAGTAAAATTTTTTTGGATCAAGAAAATATTGAATCAAAATAATTAAATTGATTTTCTTAATTTAATTTTTCCAGTGTATGTATAACAATTTTTTAAAAATTTATATTTTTTTAGAATAGTACTCAATGATTTCGGATTTTTTTTTCATATTTTGAGAAAATGATAATAAATTAATAATAATAGTAATAATAAAAATAATAATAACTATTGATATTTTTGAATAATAATTAAATCGATGTATTTCGAAATTTATATACGAATAATATTTACCGTATTTGCTTTAGAATGTTTGTCTAGTAATGAATGAATGTATAAATATAATACACGAATTAAGATTAAATAAACAAAATAAGCCACGATTAAAGTTATCAATTTGAAATTATAAATTTTTTTTTTTTTATAATAATAATATTTCAAATAATTTGAATTTCTTTTTAATTCCTGTAATATGATTTTGAATTTGTATTTAACTAAATTATTTATTAGAAATTTCATTATTATTATTATTATTATTATTATTATTATTATTATTATTGTTTATTATTTTTTTCGATAAAACTGAAATTAAGATTGGGCAAAACAGAATAAAAAGAAAAGAAAGAAAAATAATAAAATTTGTCATTTGACGAGAATCATAAATTAAAATTATATTTTTTTTTCGGTATTATATTCGACAGATGATGAGTCTAAATAATCGGCAAATGAGTTAATCACCCGCGAATAAGCGTTGCTCGTAAAATTTATCCTGAACCGTAAAAGTTACTAAGTTTCGTCTCTGTTTTCGATAGTGATCGTTATGAGAACGAGTTTTCGAGGTATCCGGCATGTTTTACATCCCTGTGCTCACAGAATGCGCACTTCGAGATACTAATTTTGGCGAAGCTATATATATATATATATATAAATGCTGTATGGGAATTACATCTTTCAAGTTCTTCCTTCTTCTTTATCTCTCGAATTCTTTTTTTTTCTTTTTTTTATATTTCTTCCGCCACTTCCAATGGCTACCACTCGTTTGATCCTTGTTCGATTCTCCCGAGACTTATTCCTTCCAGTCTCTCTCATCTCCTCCACCCAATCTACTATATACCATCTTCTTACTTATTATTATTCCCTGAGTTCTGGGGGCACTTAACCATCGTTCGCACCGAATAATTACGTTCGTCTTGTATTCCTCGCGTCGCATCCTCTTCTCTCTGGCTACCGCGTGTAATTTTACGACGTCTTCTTTTCCTTATTTCTTTATTATTTTTTTTTCTCTTATATTTTTTTTCCCCGTTAATCCTTTATTCTTTGTGTGTATATATATATTTATTCTGAAAAATATCGAAGAACTTGCTTTTTATGTGTTTACGCATCGCTTTTAAAACACCTTTGTATAATAGATTCATTCGTTTAACTTTTTATTTTTATAGGTTTTTTATTGCGCAAAAAAATAAATAAAAAATTAACGTTTATATTAAGAGAATAACACCATTATTAACGCTTTTGGTATACATATAAATATACAAGCTATTTATCTTGGTGACACTTTAATTTCTCATATTATACGGGTTGCAAAATGGAAAACCTTATTTCTGGAAAATGAATAACTTAATAATATAATATATATTCCGGTTTTTGATTTGTCCTTTCCCACGATGGAATAAAATTGTCTCGATATATACAAAAAATTGTGTCGATAAATAAATACATGCTGGTATAATTAGATCTCTTATCATACAGTTTCTGATAATTTTTTCTTTTCTTTTTATTAATAATAAGCATCTGACTTTTTATTATTCTGATTAATGTCTTCATTTTGTCTTCTTTATACAGATTTAAGATTAAGTTGTATATCAATATATTTATGAATTTAATTAACGAGGTATTCCATACCTCAAACTAGAATTTTAATTTAAATTTTTCTTCTATCAAGATATATATCTCGAAGTATAAAAAAAATATCTTATATGATCGGTTTGAGTTTTGATTTCTAAGCAGAGATTATTTATATACTACAACGTGTTAACATGAGAAATATTCACGTCACGTGAATTGAAAAAGGAAATTTTTTTTTTTTTTTTGAAAAAAAAATATCAAGTAAAGACTAGTAGAACTTTCCAATTAACATTTTCGATGTAGGTATATAGAGGAGACGTGATCGTGTCGCGTTTTATAGGGAAAAATGTATGTGACGCCTATCGTAGATCTCACAAAATGACCTGTCGATATCGTCGATCTGTGCCAATTAACGAACACACCTCCAGTATAAAGTTGATCTTATATTATACACGTTGCCGCACTTATGCCATAAGTTTGAGTATATTTTCCACAATAAGAGTTTAAATATAGCTCCAAAAATTAAAATTACAGTAATTTTTGTTTTTTCAAAAAAGAAAAAAATCTTTGTCATTAATTTTTCTTTATTTAAAAAATTATTTTATTTAAATTGGTAGAATTTTTTTTTGGTTTTAAAATTAAATTATAAATATCAAGGTGTGTTATTTCAAAATATAATATATATTAATGATGAAAAGATTAGTACAGTAATTTGCCAAGATACAACAAAAGATCAAATGAAGATAGTAAATGTATGGTGAAAAAATCAATATCTATAATCTCCGCGACACGTGATTCGTACATTGAATAGAGGTTCATTAAAACGATACAGTTGGAATATTAAACTGAATGGACACGTGTCCTTCTCTCTCTTTTACCGAAAGTCAGTTTTATACTGCACACGTGTCTTTTAGGGGTTTTAAATCTTTATATTTTACCACTCTTACATAACGTATATATACAGTTCAATGCACAGAAGTAGAAACAACAATTCATCATTTTTATACCCTTAAAATAATTTTTATTCTCTTTATTTTCATTTTTTTTATTGTATTTTTTTTTTGGAATTACAAAATTTTATTCTAAAATAAAAATTTAATTCAATATTACTTGACAAGACACAAGTGTCTGAAAAAAATATTAAATAACGAATTGTATTAGACTTTTATGTACGAAATTGTACAATAAAATTATCATTTTGTTAAAAGACACGTGCGCAGTGTGTATACTTATAACTCCTTAAAATTTATCTTTTATGTGCGACTTGAACGAGCGCGTACAGCGTCGCAAAATATTAACACGTGCCGCGGATTTCATGACTCGAAAATAATCGTAGGAAGAAGGATATGACTCAAACTTGCAGGAAATTCAACTCGACTAGCGTGCTAATCGTAATAAATTTTTCCTATATATAAAACACGAAAGCTAAATTATGATTTAGTCAAATATATCAAAATGAAATTTATAATTTTTTTAATTTGAAAATTGTCAAATAAAAAAATTGATAATGATAAATTCACGATTTATTTCTCATATGTACGATGATGATAATGATGATGATAATGATGATGATAATGATCATAGTTTTTATTGGTTTCTTTCTTCTTTATAATTATCCATTTCTACAAAACGAATCAGGTTGCTATTATCGGCAGTTATATATACGCGTACCGCACCAAAGAAAAACTGGTACAATTTCATTCCGTTGTATAGTAGAAATTCGCTTGTCACGATATATATATATATATATATTCTTCGACATAATCACTATCGGCGATTGGTAAAACGCATTTCCACACGCATCCTCTTTTACGCGAGAGCAAAGAGAGCTTTGCGAAACTTTTCGCAAAAGGCATCCAGTTTTCTTATATATATCATGATTCCATCACGAACTTCCCATCGAATGTTGTTTTCAAACGAATTTCACCGCCTGATCAATTAAAAAAAAAAAAAAAACTTTCGAGAAAGCGCAATGTTCGAAGAAATTCTTTCATTTTCTTATTTGCTTGACAATTTTGTTTTTCTTTTCAATATTTTAGGTTATCGCATATTTTGTTTTTATTTTTTTTTTTGTTGGTTTAAAATCAGATGTTTATAAAGACGAAATCATTGGCAAAAGAAAAAAAGGGAGGAAAAAGTAATCATTGAATCAATGTTTTTAAAGGGGTTAGTTGTAATCAGTC